GTCGGCTGCCTGATGTACCTCATGGTTGGAACTCGACCGGACCTTGCTGCGGCAGTGGGAGTTCTTAGCCAGTTCGCGGCGGACCCGTGTCCCACACACTGGCAAGCACTCAAGCGCGTCTTCCGCTACATTCAAGGTACGAAGACGCACGGCATCGAGTTTCAAGAAACAAGTGAAGAAGGACTCCAAGGCTACTCGGATGCGGATTGGGCTGGTGACGTCGAGGCTCGACGCAGTACAAGCGGCTACGCGTTCATGATGAACGGCGGATGCATTAGTTGGAGAAGCAAGAAGCAGCGCACGGTGGCCCTGTCATCGACGGAGGCGGAGTACATGGCGTTAACGGAAGCTGCTCAAGAAGCGATCTGGCTCAAGGCATTCCTGTGTGAGCTCGGCGAAATGAAGAACGAGGATTCTGTCATGATTTTCGAGGACAATCAAGGGTCGATTGCGCTGGCCAAGAACCCCGAGTTTCACAAGCGCACCAAGCACATCGACATTCGCTACCACTTCGTGCGCGAGAAGGTTGAAGATGGCCAAGTGGTGTTGCAGTACTGCTCGACGAAGGACATGAAGGCGGATCTGATGACCAAGCCGATCACCGCGGTGCAGTTCGAATATCTTCGCAACAAGCTGGGTATCAAGCCACCAAGCGCGGTCGAGTCGAGTGGGAGTGTTGTCAAGAAGGCGTCTCGTCCAGCTTCGGCATACCAGTAAAACCGGTTTCCAAGGAACCCGCAATGTTTACGGTAAGTCAATTGCGCAAACGGATGTATGCGTAAACAGATGATTGGACGTAAATAAAACTTGCCGCTTCGGTAAATTTCTTAAGTAACAGGATGATTGGACGAGTCCATGATTGGATGCACCACATGATTGGATGCAGACTAGGACGTAAGACAGAGTAAGCTCCAATAAATCAATCACTTTGCATTTTATCATCTAGTGCACAAACGACCTTCCTTTTATAACGCCGTTGGCTCATCGTCACGCTGCCGTCCGGACCGTCTACCAATTCGATCCCAAGGACGAACACACACTTGCCGCTGTCAGTCATTTCGAAGCGTGTCTTGAGGTCGTCCTTCGTGCGTGAGATCAGCTCGGGTGAGCTTCCGGTGACCAAGACATCGTCGACGTAAACCAGTATGAGCTCCGGGTGAGCTCGACACCTTCGGGAACCACGCAAAACACGATCTCCCTCATCACGCCGTACAGGAATGCCGTCACCACGTCTAGTTGGTCTAGCGGCCAGCCAAAGTACTTGGCCAAAGCGATCACCATGCGCAACGTCACGTACTTGACAACCGGCGAGAACGTCTCAGTGTAGTCGATGCCGTACTTTTGCTTGAAGCCCTTGACCACGAGGCGTGCCTTGTACTTCTCGATCGATCCGTCCGCTTTGCGCTTGGTCTTGAACACCCACTTGGTACCAATAGCGCGTTGTCCGTTCGACAGCTTAGCAGCACGGAACACTCCTCGAAGTCGCATCGACTTGAGCTCAGCACGAATTGCTTTGCGCCAGTGCACTTGGTCGGGGCCGTTCACCGCCTCTTGGAAAGTCGCTGGCTCCGATAAGTCCACCGCAGCTTCGACTGCGTTGGCACTTGCACGCCAAAACACGGGGGGAGTCGATTCTTCATCTTGATCTCCAGCTTTTTCTTCTTCGTTTACGTCTGCTCGACGTGAAGACGAATTGGTCGGCGCACTTGCTTCTTCCAGTCCGGGTCGATGACGCGTAGTTCGCGGTCTTGTGGCAGATTCATCTTCGTCACTCGGGCGGCTCTTGCGCTTCCCCGCCTGCCTGTGCTCCGTCTGACGCGAACCGTCATTGTCGATGTCGAGAGATTCGAAGTCCAGGTCGTCGACGTCTTCATCGGAAATTGGCTCTGAAAGTCCAAAGGTCGATTCATCGAAGTTGACATCGCGACTGATAACCACCTGCCCCGCCTCGATGTCATAAAGTCGATACGCCTTGGATACTTCTTCGTAGCCCAGGAACAATCCGGCGCGAGCCTTCGGATCCCACTTGAGCCGTTTCTCCTTCGGAGTAAAGATGAAAGCTCGACAGCCGAAGACGCGCATGTGTTTCACACTCGGCGCGGACTTGTACACAATCTCGAACGGAGTCTTGCACTCGATCTTTGGTGACGGCAGGCGGTTCTTCACGTGGATGGCCGTCATCGCCGCTTCACCCCAGAAACACTTGTCTAGCTTGGCATGATGCAGCATGCTGCGGCCGATCGTGACGATGGTGCGGATGGCCCGTTCTGCCGTGCCGTTAGTCTGGTGCGCATACGGAACCGTGGTTTGTTGCTCGATGCCTTCGTCTTCGTAGAAATCTTTGAGCAAGTTGGTCGCAAATTCACGAGCACCGTCGTGTCGCACGAACTTGACCTTCTTGCCAAACTGCTTCTGCACCTTCGTGATGTACGTCTTGATGCAGTCTTCGCTTTCTGATTTGTCACGCAGGCAGAAGCCCTTCATGCATCCGCTGGCTTCGTCCACGATCAGTAGCAAATATTTGCTGCCACCAAGCGAGGACTTCTCCATGGGTCCGCAAATGTCAAAGTGAAGCAACTCGAAGGTGTCGTATCGACACTTGTCACGGTTGCTAGGGAATGGTTTTGGACCATCTTGCCTTGCTGGCAGCCGCGACACAGACTTGGTCCGCTAGGCTTGGAAGGTGCTTTCGCGTCCTTAATCATCTTGTTGTCGACCATCTTGCGAAGCACCTCGACTGGAGCGTGACCCATACGCGCATGCAGGTCGACCGTCCTTCCAGTTGTCGCCGCATTTGCTGATCGACGAGGCGAGCGAAGCCAGTAGAGTCCATCTACGAGATCCACCGATGCCACCACTTGATTCGAGTCCTTGCGTGAGATGTGCATCTCGGTGCCATCGAACACCACCTGGAACTTTCCGTTCTTGTTGATCTGCGGTACTTGTTGTCAAGAAGGCGTCTCGTCCAGCTTCGGCATACCAGTAAAACCGGTTTCCAAGGACCCCGCGATGTTTACGGTAAGTCAATTGCGCAAACGGATGTATGCGCAAACAGATGATTGAACGAACAGGATGATTGGACGAGTCCAGTGTTGGTGATTGGATGCACCACATGATTGGATGCAGACTAGGACGTAAGACAGAGTAAGCTCCAATAAATCAATCACTTTGCATTTTATCATCTAGTGCACAAACGACCTTCCTTTTGGTTATGAGCCCAACAAGCCCCGCAGACTCTGCCCAAGACTACGCCTACGCCATGGACGCCACTTCAACGACCGCCCGCATCAACAAGTTCGACGGAACCAACTTTCACACGTGGAAGTTCAAGATGCAGATGGTGCTGGAAGAGCGCGACCTGTGGGAAGTCGTCAGTGGCGAACTGAAGATGGAGCACTGCGCTACCGCGTTGGACCAAGCGACGTTCAAGCGGAAGTCGCGCAAGGCGCTGGCGATTATCTGTCTCGCGATGGAGGATTCGCAGCTGCCGTTGGTTCGGTCGGCGAATGGTGCGCATGATGCCTGGTCAAGGCTGGAAGGACACTTCGAGAAGAAGAGTTTGGCGAACAAGCTCTTCCTTCGTCGACGTTTCTTCACCACGATGATGGAAGAAGGTGATGATGTGCTGGAGCACATCAACAAGATCAAGACGCTGGCGGAGCAGCTCGACGCAGTGGGCGCTCCGGTCAGCGAGGACGACTTAGTGATCACGCTTCTGGCAAGTCTAAGCTAGTCGTACCAGTTCCTCATCACGGCGTTGGAGTCGAGAGCTGACTCACTGTCGTGGGAACTAGTGACGGCTCGGCTGCTGCATGAGGACATGAAGCGCAAAGAGCAAGGTGGCGGTGCGGACGGCGCCGCGCACGGTCAAGCGTTCATGACGAGTGACAACGGTAAGCGTAAGGGACGACAGGCGCCAAAGACAAGCGCGTCACTATTGCGGCGAACAAGGACATTGGATCGCCAAGTGTCCGGTGAGGATTCGTGAAAATGCGGAGCGACAGAGGCCGCAACGAGCAAACGTCGCGCGCGATGAAGAAGAATCGGGCGAGTTTCTCTTCTTGGCTGGTGGTGGGAGCAAGACCACTAAGTCAAGTGACAAGTGGCTGGTCGACTCGGGTGCGACGCAGCACATGACGTACTCGAAGGAGTACATGAAGAACTACAAGAAGATGTCTCCGGTGAACGTACATCTCGCGGACGATGGTGTGGTTCAGGCAGTCGGGACCGGCGACATCGTGATGTCATGAGGACTCCACGGGGGACCAAGAAGGGTGTGCTCACGAATGTGTGGCACATTCCTAAGCTGTCACGCAACCTCTTCTCGGTTGGTCGCTTCACCAAGGATGTTGGTCCCGTGACGTTCGAGACGGATGGGTGTTTTGCGGAAGCAAGGGTCTCAACTGGAAGCTCGGCGCGCGTGAAGGCAAAGGGCTGTTCAAGCTGTGCATGACACCAGCTGTGCCCGACGAGGCCAATGCGGCAAGCTCGAAGGATCGCAAAGGGGACACCACATCGTACCTCTGGCATCTTCGACTTGGTCACATTGGCCATGGCGGTCTAGACGCCATCGTCAAAAAGGACTACGGTGCAGGCATCAACATGACGTCAATGAAACAGTGGGAGCTGTGCGACGGATGTGCACTCAGCAAGCAAACGCGAGTGAGCTACATGTCCAAGTCACCCAACCACGCCAAGAAACTGCTGGAAATCGTTCACAGTGATGTGTGTGGTCCCATGCAGACGTCGACATTCAGTCGCTAACGCTACTTTGTCACGTTCATCGACGAGTACTCGCACTTCTGTGTGGTGTATTTGCTCCGGAACAAGTCAGAAGTGGCCGACAAGTTTGCTGAGTTTGTCGCATTTGCGGAAACACAGACCGGCAAAGTCGTGAAGACGCTTCGTAGTGACAACGGTGGCGAGTACACGTCGGGCGAGATGGCTAAGTTCTGCAAGCGTCGTGGTATCGTGCAGAAGTTTACACCTCCGTACACGCTTCAACTAAACGGTGTCGCCGAGCGGATGAACCGGACGCTGGTGGAATGTGCGCGCTGCATGTTGGAGCATGCTGGTTTGGCCAAGTCGTATTGGCCCACACGTGCCATCAGCCATGACAAGTCACCGAACCAAGTATGAACCGGTAAGAAACCACTGCTGGCGAACCTGAAGGTGTTCGGTTGCCATGCGTATGTGACGGTTCCGAAGCAGAAACGCACCAAGTTGGACGCTCGAGCAGTGAAGTGTCGGTTTCTAAGGTACGCGGACCACGAGAAAGCGTATCGTTTCGAGGAGATCAAGAGCGGTCGTGTGCTAGTGAGCCGCGATGCGCAGTTCATGGAAGACGTCTTCGACGGAGGGAGACGCAGCCACGATGAAGATAACATCGTGGAGCTTCAAGAAGAAGAAGTGACGGATCAAGAAGCATCGTCCGAGGATGAGACGATGGGAGACACTGCGCCGCGTCAAGAATTTGAGCCCGGTAGCAAGCGACACCAGCGAACGCAGTCGTTGGAGGAAGCGGTAGAGATCCCGCGGAGCAAGCGACAGAGTCGGCCGCAGACGCTGGAGGAGATGTCAGCGGTCGCAAGTGGTCGAGAAGAAGATTTCGAAGCGGCCTACGTTGTGGATTCAGTGGGAGAAATGCCGACTACGTTCAAGTCGGCGATGGAATCCAGCAACGCGGCCAAGTGGAAGGAAGCGTGCAACTCAGAAGTCGACTCTCTTCGCAAGAACAAGACATGGTCGTTGGTGCCATTGCCCCAAGGTCGAAAGGCAATCGGTTGTCGTTGGGTGTTTCGCATCAAGGAGAACCAAGGGAGAGAGATCGAGGGGTTCAAGGCACGACTCGTCGCCAAAGGAGTTTCGCAGAAGTACGGCATTGACTACGAAGAAACCTTCGCGCCAGTCGTTAAGTTCACGTCGATCAGGATCCTGCTCAGTCTGGCGGCCAAGTACAATCTGACGGTGCACCAGATGGATGTCAAGACGGCGTTCCTAAATGGCTGCTTGACGAAGATATCTACATGGTGCAACCGAATGGTTACACGGATGAAGAACATCCTGACCATGTCTGCCATCTCAAGCGCTCGCTCTACGGTCTTAAGCAGTCGCCACGAATGTGGAACCAGACCATTAACAAGTTCATGCTAGAGCTGGGGTTCAAGAAGTGTGAAGCCGATCACTGCATCTACGTCAAGTGGGATGACCAAGACATGATCTTCGTGGCTCTCTACGTCGATGATCTGGTCCTCGCCAGTGACAACGACGATCTGCTCAAGTCGACGAAGAAGGCCTTAAGTGAACGCTTCGACATGACGGACTTGGGTTGCCTCAAGTACTTCCTCGGTATGGAGATCGATCAAGATGCGACTTCAGGAAAGTGTCGGTGCGTCAGACCAAGTTTGCGAAGGACATCCTGGAGAAGTTTGGCATGGAGAACAGCAACCCTGTCAAGACCCCTCAAGACCCAGGACTCAAGGTGACCAAGGCCATGTGCGAAGGAGGATGCAACCATGAAGAGACCATGGCCAAGGTGCCTTATCGCAATGCTGTCGGCTGTGTGGTGAAGTGCTTTCTCAGAAATAAGAGAATGGTCCTGACGCGGGGTCACTATCCCGAATCAGTGACAATTTCAAGTGATTATAGAGGATTTGGGTTGTTTGGCACGGGTGCAAGTTGCCTGTGGTGGATTAGCCATGGCGAGCAGCACCTCGTATGGAATGACGATGGATCTGATATGAGCGATGTACGAGAAGGCAAGATCCACCAAGACTTACCTCGGATCCACCCTTACCTGGATTCACTAAGATGGATATGGGATATACTATACAAGAGTGGATCGAGTGTGGA